GAGTGGAGAGCTGACAGCCAAGAGCTGTGAGCTGACGGCCGAGAGTGGAGAGCTGAGAGCTGAGAGCTGAGAGCTGAGAGCTGAAAACCGAATTTTGCAGTTGCAGCTTTGGCTTCCCGCTTGCGATGCGCATCCCATAAGCCCATCAGGCTTTCTTTTCGGCACTTCTAGAATCAGCCCTTGAACCCTTTAAGATTGCTTGCCATATTCATCTGTAAGGAGTTGTCCGTACTGGCGGTGTCATGATGACATATATATCGTCATGCGCTTATAACTTGTAGATACAATCTTGCTATTTCCCCGGTGGATTTACAGCTTGCCACAGTTATGCGCTTTGAGCCTGTTCCGGCAGGATTCCTGTGCGTCACCAGTCAGTCTAATCTCGCATACTTACGGTCTCTGCAAGAAACCAGTGAATGGGAAACAGTTGAAAGGGGTCGAAGCTATTGATCGCTATCTACGCCAAGCAAGCAAGCGCCAGCTGCCACATACATGGAGTCGATCTACTCTGAGAGCTATTCCGGCGAGGAACCCCATGCCTTTAGTCCAACTCCTGAGGAAATTGCGAGCGGGGAGAGTGAACGGCGTTTCAGGTTCGCTGTAGGGTTGGACGATATCCCTGGAGAGGTCAAGGCCTTTGTTCGTTTGAACAGGCTAGGTCGCTTCAACGAAGCCGAAGAGTTTTTCGAGACCTCCCTTCAGGGGAATATTGACCTTTTCCCCGTCACAGCCGAGTGCGCGGACTTCCTTCTCGAGCAGGGTCTGTACGGCAATCTTAGTCGATTCCTCAGGAGTCAAATGCTTGACCGAGAATATGCGAAGAGCGCGGACGAACAACCCGAAGAAGAGAGGCATTTGTTGAAGCTGCTACTGGCACTCTCTGAGATTCGCACACAGGGTTCTTTAAGCTCAGCACTAAAAGAGGCTAGAGCTGCGAAATTGTTCTTACAGCGCAAAGGAAAAACTGCCGGATCCCTTGATGAAGTGGAGGTATGACTTGAGGTTCTGCAAGTCCCCATTAAAGCGTTGACGATTCTAGATTCATATATTGACGACATATCTCCGCATTCTTGAGCTCGTACATAGAGGTTCTTCTTGGCTGGAGCAGTCAGATACTCAGCCACCATGGTCGAGTGAGCCTACATCGTACTGGACTGGATTCGTCCAGTGGCTTGAAACCCTCGAAACTGAACAGCGCTTCTGGGAAGCCAATGAGGTTCTCCAGGTACTGTTCGCTGTTCTGAACAAAGATGTTGCTCTAGATTGCTTCAAGGCCTTTGTCAGACGCACAGACAGTTTTGTTAGAAGTTTAAAGTTTCCGGACACTCAGGAGTACACCGAACCTTCAGTCCTAGCCGAGATCGCGTGCAAGGAAGCTCTCTGCGCTAGGTTGTTCGAAGAACCTAGCATTCTTTCTGACGAGGCTCTGTTTCGCGAAGTTCTTGATCTGCTCTTGTCAATACTCCACAAGTCCAGGTCAACGTTTTCTGATAAACCAGGGGATGCCAATTACAAACCATCTCTGCAATTCGAACTTTTGAAAGGGAAGAACGAGGACTTACAGCTTGAAAAAACTGTTTACGGCCGTCATGTCCTTTCTGCCGCAACAAAAATCGCTGACGATGCCAAACGCTTTTCCGATTACAAAATGCGAGCAACCTGTTTGTGGCAGATACTCATGAGCCTGTGTACGATGGCACTGTCAGAATCAGGAAGCTTCGAGGCTCAGATCCACCAGCGATTCGACGAATTCGAGCGGGTTACCCTATCCCAAATGGAGGACCCCTTTGGATATTTGGATCGTCTCAACGACCTCTTCACCAAGTGCCACAGCACCTCCGCACCCGAAGACCGTAAATTACCCATTATGAGGCTCCTCCTTCAACGTTACAATGAGTTCGGAAGCAAGATTCGAATCCCAGAACATGGCGAGACTAGCCCCACTGTCCCAACTGAAGGGCGAGAAGACGAAAGGTTCGACGTTCCAGTATTCACCTCGAAGGCGAGACAGGACCAAGCCATCTTGAGGGGCTTCGTCGGGGATAGTGACGTTGTGTCCAGACAGGTTCGTTGCTGGTTACAGCGCTAGTTCTGTTCCACAAAACACGGTTTGACTTTGTTGAATCTTAGGCAATTATGGACGAATCTTTCATACTGAAACGTCGCCACGAAAAATTCCTTCTTTGGGCACCGGGCCGATTCAGTGACATGAATCCTCCTCTCTTGGTGCTGGGACGTCTGTCTCCGGGGGATGAGCCCTCATTCGACCGGATATTCAGAGGCGAGCTTAAAAGGGCCGACGAGAAGGATATATGGGAGCTCGGCTGCAACGATCTCCGTCCATTCTTGGAGAATGATTGCGTCTACCATTATTGGTTCGAAATTGTTGACACATCCCCGGACGAACATGGCACAATGTTGGTTACGGATCCTCTGGCCTACAACGTCGATTATAGGCTCAAAGGGGAGATAGGAAACCAGCCGGCCGCAGTAATTAAGTTTCGGCACGGGAAGCTGTATCCTTGCGATGCTAACGGCGTGGAAGAACCCGTAGATGGCAATAAGGTTCCGGTACCAGATCTGAGTCGGCTCCCTAACAACAACCAGCTGGTGATCTATGAGTTGCCAGCGTCGTGGGCTCGTGGAAGTGGAGAAGGTATTGAGCGCGATATAGGGACATTCATGGATATCGTAGGCCTCCTTGAGGAGGTCGACGATGGTTCCACGGGCAACCACCGAAACTCCAAAGGGACAATCATTGCAGACCTCGGAATCAATGCTATAGAGCTGCTACCCGCAGCAGACGCAAAACCTATAGGAGCCTGGGGCTACGCCACCGCCCACTACTTTGCTACTGACAACGACCTTGGTACGCCGAAAGAATTGACCGGATTAGTTAGATCCTGCCACAAAAAGAACATTCGGCTGTTCATGGACACCGTCATGGGGTTTGGGCACGACCCTTACATCCATATTGCATATTATCAGTTCCATCTGCGGCCGCAGCGTGAGCAGGATAATGCAGACGCCTGGCAATCCAGTCGAGATGGAGAGCTCCGGGATAGGTTTGGAGGCGAAAGCTGGCGCTACGTTAGGGCCACAAACACGACCAATCCAATTACCGGCATCTCGCCTGCTGCAAACGAGCGTCGATTTCAGTATATTTGTCCTGCTTCGGCCTTCCATCTTTTACATCTTGAACGATGGATGTCAGACTTCGGCATAGGTGGGCTCAGACTCGACAGTGCTAACAACATTGGCAACTGGAACTTTATTCGGCGATACAAGGATGAAGCTTGGAAGCGCTTTGCTTCAAGGTACAAGGCACCGCGGTCTCATCCGCAGTATCAACCTGAGGAAGATCCAGATCTGCGAAATAAGTTTCTCGTCATCGCCGAGGAACTGGCGGTTCCGATTGATATGATCAGAAGCCGTTGCGTGAATGCTCTGTGGAATGAGCACTTTCAGCGTCTGATTCGGGCGGTAATTGTCGGAGAGTCGTACGGAGGCGACAACTTCGAATGGACAGTTCGCAAGATGATCGACTGCCGGCAGATAAGCTTCCGGAATGGAATAGAGGACCGTCGGTTCACAAGTGCAACGGAGGCCGTCAACTATATAACCTCGCATGATGTCCAAGGTTGGCGTAAGGAGCGTCTGTACAACTTCCTTCACAATATCGGCATCCATGACAACAAAGGGAAGGAACTGCGTACAAAGCTCGCTTTCGTGTGTTTACTGACGGCTGTCGGTATACCTATGATCTTCGCCGGCGAAGAATTCTGCGATCAACACGACAAGCTTATAGAGCACCCTTCGAAGCAGACCGATCCCGTAAACTACGATCGAAAGACTGAAGAGTGGCGCTCGAGAGTATTCGATTATGTCAAGAAGTTAGTGAAGCTGAGAACGAAGTGTCCAGCCCTCGGCGACGAGGAGACTGATTTCTTTTACTGGGACTTCAGCAACAACCGAAGGGTAGTGGCTTGGAAACGCGGTGGAAGGAACGATGATCCCGTCGTGGTGGTCGCCAACTTCTCGGACCAACATGTACCGACACGGGCAGAAGCCATGCCAAATTGGCCTTCGACACCAAATCAGAAGCGATGGAGTGAAATCACCCAAGGGGGTGAGATTCGTCAAGAGTCGATCGGTCGGGAAGAGTTGTCTCCTTGGGAAGCCAAAGTGTATACGTGTTGGACAGAAGGAGGAGAATAGCATATCCAGGTTAATGCTCTCAAGGGTTGTTGCTTTTCCAGAATGAAGAAATGGTGCTCGTGGCAGAAAAATAGGGCGAGAATAGCTGCGAAGGGAGATTTCACTAATGTACACGTAGTCGATCATTTAATGTGTTGCTGCCGGCTGGAATCGCTTGTGGTGAGAGCTTCGACGTTTTCCCTACGCGGAGTAGACAGGAAAGGTTTTGCGGGTATTCTCGAAGACACAGCAGAACTGCCTTCATTCCGTCGGTGAGGTACTGTGATATTTTGCCAAAGCTGACTCCCACATGGAGGCCTCTCGATCGTCCTAGAGATACATGGGCGAATCCACCCAGCCCACTCCGACTTCTGATTTGCTCGCTTAGTTTCCAGCCTTCAGCCCCCGGCTGCTCTCTTCGCAATCTCAAACGTCCATATAATAGAGCATTTTCGCAGCGCGGCCTGGCGGGGTAAAACGAGACCGCGGCTTGGTGGTTTAGGGATAGCGCGCCAATATTTGAGGCTTTTATGGCTTTTAAGGATACTTTCAAGACACACCGCGGCTTAATTAAGCCGCGGTGTATCTTAAGGGCTAAGCGCTGTATTTAGTTAGCTGGTTGATGAATAATAACTCTATTACCACTTATTTAAAGCTGAAGCCGAAGCCGCACCAGCTTACCTCTATTATAAACTCCATTAAATGTCTTAACTACTAGTAGCAGGAGCTGCTCTATTAAGTATTCCTCTATCTAATAAAGCCGCCGCACTAATACCGTTCGTGATAGATAGCCCAGTGACGCTAGCACCAGCTAAGAAGAAGGCGCCGGCTAAGACTAAGGTGGTAGAGGTGGTAGATAGCGGTAAGGATAAAGCGCTAAAGGCAGGCTGTGTTATAATAACCGAGGAGCACTATAATAAGCTTATTTAGATAGCTGCTCGTTAAGTAAGATTAGTAGAGCTAGAAACTCTTAACACTAATGCCTTTTATAAGTCAGTTCGCTAGGCATTTACTGCTACTACTAGTATTAAATATAAGAGTATCCGGAGGGATCTATTAAGACTAGTAGCTAAGCGTAAGGCGTAGCTAAAGACTAGTGGTTCTAGTACCGGTATAGAGATAAGCTAAGCTTAGATCGAGCGCGATACGGCAATTAATGCCTATATAGAGTTTGTAGATAAAGCTAAGGCTAGGAAAGTATTAAATTATACTTATATCTAGTAAGCTAAAGATAAGGTTAATGAATTCTTATAAGACCGAAGAATATATATAACTAGTAAACCGGAGGAGCGCGAGTAGTAGTCTAATAATAATAAGGTAGCTAAGATAGTAGCTAAGGTGTAAGGGGACGAACTAGATAGAGTCGCAGTTAATAATACCGGTATTAAGATTTAAGAGAATTAAGAGAGCACTACTATATTAGATCTATTAGCTAGTAGATCTCCCAGATAAGAGTCTAGAAGAATAAAGCGTTCTCGAGTTAATCCCGCCTTAGATAAGCTTACTAAGATAATTAAAATATTAGCGGAGGTTATAATACGAAAACTAGTTCGTGAAGATAATAAGACGGTAAAGAGGCTTAAGAGGCTGCGGATAGACTTTAAAGGACGGCTTAATAGGCTAGATAGTAAGGTTAACGCGATTAAGAGTATAGAGGGTAGGATCCTAGCCGCGCTTAATCGAATTAGTAGTAGTAGAGGTGGTGGTAATACTAAGAGTAGTAAGAGGACGTTAAATTGAATGGTATTAATAGAGCTTACCAGTGTAGGAGAGCTATAGGAGTATGAATTAATCTCTATTAAATAAGGGTATTTTATATACAAAATCACGGTCTTAGTATAGAATATCCACTATTCTCTAGACTAGTCTCTGCGGTTAATTAGTAATTTTAGACTCTAGATTCAGCAGCCTAGACGGTATTACATAAATATTTGAATTGGACTTATATCTTAATAACCACTATAGATATCTATATAGAACTTTAAGGGACGCGAGATAATACCTATCTAAAGCGTCCCTCTAGCTTTAGTATAAAAAGAAAATTGCTAAGGTAGTTAAACTATACGCCGCGGTGAAGATAGTTAAAAACATTAGGAGGATTAATCCTAAACCGCAAACTAGTGCCTAGACCGTTAAAATAGGTAAAATAGTTAGTTAATAAGATAAAGACGAGAAAGTATTTATTAACTAGCTGCTAGTCGTGCTGCAGTAGCTTATAATAGCTATTAAACGGCCACTTATTTTATATAAGAGTAAATGCGTTCTCTACCGCAACTTGTATGGTAGATAACCTCTTATTAAATAATCGGTCGTTATACTTAAGCGCTTACTAACTACTTGTAGTAGAGATTAGAGTCTAGTATCTATAGACGCAGCTATATACTAAATCGCTATATAGATAAAGCTGCTGCGGTTACCCTCTTAGAACCGCGCGTATTCGATCTTGAATACCTAAATCTTAAAATATCCGCTAGTTATTAATATAGCTAGAGTATAGACTATCTAGCGCTAAGATTATTCTATTAGGTGTGACAATCGCCTAGTATTTATAGCCGTGTCCTTTATAGTATCTAGAGTACTAAGCTCTTTACCTTATTATTAGACAGTAAAAGCGTTAAAATGTCCTATCGATAAATCCCTAAATACTTCTCTTAAAGTAACTAGTCTTATCTCTACTACTAGTAGTAGTAATAGCCTTTTTAAACTACTACAGCTAGTTATAGTTATTTAAATAAGGCCGCTAATAGATATACCGACTCTACCTCCGAGCTAAAAACCTCCTAAGGCTAGTAGCTTTTATAGATATCTAGGGTAGAGAGTGGTGGAATAAGTTGTAGAGTTTATATAAATACTCTAGTAAGGCAAGATAGCTAAAAAGGACATAAAACGCCGTCTCTAAATTAGGCTTATATTAGTTCGAGTATTCGGCTTTATTAACGTAGAGGAGGGTAATAAGGAGGCGTATCTCGTGCTTAGTAAACCTAAAAGATAGGTAGTTAGCACACGTGTCTATAAATAAGTATTTAGGTATACTACCTAAACCTCTAAAGGATAGTATCGGGGTCTATGCTATTAAGTATCTACTAGCTAGGTAGATAGTAGTAAGGCGTAATATATCTAGATGCGCGGCGATGCTCTTTATATAAAAAGAGTAGGATAATAATAAGGTATATATAGAGGACTAAATCCCCCTCTAACTTTATAATATAAACGCATTATTAGATAATAGTAGCTAGATTCGTAATATTTAAACTAGTAGATAACTACGATCACTAGTAGTGATAATAGAATATTAAGATTTTGACGCTAAACTATTTATAGAGCTTAGCTATTAAGCCGCAGCCTCGTTTTACCCCTCCAAGCTGCGCTGCGAAAATACCCTAATCTCCCCGCTAAAAAGTTATAGAATCACGTGCTGCAGCCCGTGCTCTATTACTATAACCTCAGCTAGCTTGTTTTCAGCAGCAACTAGATGATTTTTTAGTTAACTACTACTAATATAGCTCTAAACTAAGGCCTAGAAATTAGTATTATAGTATGCGCTTATATTATTACCTTACGCCTTTTTAACAAGCTCGAATACATCGAAATTGAAGCTAAAACTAGTATTTCGGTATTAACTTACTACTAGATTTATAAACGCGCCGAACGAGCCTTCTAACTAGTAGTACTCGATATCCACGAGCTCCTATTATATCTTAATAATAAACCACGCTCTAGCTAGCTAGCTAAGATAGCTGACAGCTCCGTAGAGTCTACTATAGTGCACGCTCGAATTATAGAGTATAATAATAAGTCTTTTGAAGACGCCGCTCAGCTAGTTCTTAAAGAGATTAGGCAGCCTCACCTTATACAATCTACTATTAAAAAGATAGCTTATAAGCACTACGATCCTACCTATCCTTATAAGATTATGCGTAGCTACTAGCCTCTTAAGCCGATTCTAAAGTCACATTATAAGAAGAACCGCATTATCTATTACAATTAGATAGATAAAAAGATTAATAAGGAGGCTATCTTTATATGCTCCGACGAATGTTAAATACCTGTACCTATAAGTTCGAGAATCGGGTGCCGATTTCCATACAAAATCACCCCTGCACGGAACTTGCCGTTTCAGAATGGGACCCCATTCTAAAAGACGCTAAAATCTAAAAAGGTATCCACACGTGATAAAATCACGTGATACTAAAAAAGCTAGATTTATAGAGCTTTTAATTTTAAGCGGTGATATATATAATAGAATTTCCTAAATAGGCCTCTCTAAGGTTTTAGGGGGGTTTAAAAGTGAGGAGTAGAGAGGTTAGGGGGATTATTAAGGTAAATAGGGTAGATATCGAAAAAGTAAGCGGCGTTAAGCGGAGAAAGCGGCAAAAAGACATAGAGGTATATATAATAGAATTCAGGTCGGGGAAAGTTGTGCGAAAAAAGGCAGTCAGCCGGCGGTGGAGTGTGTAACCCTAGGGTTCGCGTAAGCGTGCACGGGCCCCCCTGGCGCGGGCGCGCAGGGAGGGGGGTGGGCACTGGGAAGGAGTTTTCGCGAAGCGACAGGATCTTTTGTGCGTAGGGTTAGGGTTAGGGTTAGGGTTAGGGTTAGGGTTAGGGTTAGGGTTAGGGTTAGGGTTAGGGTTAGGGTTAGGGTTAGGGTTAGGGTTAGGGTTAGG